AAAAAAAAAAAAAAAAATTAGCCAGGTGTGGTGGTGGGCGCCTACAGTCCCAGCTACTCGGGAGGCTGAGGCAGGAGAATGGCATGAACCCTGGAGGCGGAGCTTGCAGTGAGCCGAGATCATGCCACTGCACTCCAGCCTGGGTGACAGAATGAGACTCCATCTCAAAAAAAAATTAGGCGGGCGTGGTGGCACATGCCTGTAATCTCAGCTACTCAGGAGGCTGAGGCAGGAGAATCACTTGAACCTGGAAAGTAGAGGTTGCAGTGAGCCAAGATCACGCCACTGCGCTCCAGCCTGGGTGACAGAGTGAGACTCCATCTCAAAAAAAAAAAAAAAAGAAAGAAAGAAAAAGAAAAAAGAAATTACTTCTCTATACAAGTGGATTTCCCGTTTCACTTGGGATTTTCATTGACTAGGGTTGGAAAGATAGAAGCCGTATTGGGTCTCTATAAAAGCACTGCTATGTATTATACATTCACTTGAAATTAAAATGATTTGCTACTTCTCTTTTCTTTGACAGACACTTATAAAAGCATAAGTGGTTTTCACTATATCCAAGTTCTAGATTCCTGACTCAGTTACCCTGCTGCAGGCATACAATGGATATGTATGTCATATATCCATTTACTAATTCTTCTATATTCATTTTTTCAATAGGAAAATGGGAATAGCCCTATCCTTAGCAATATAATTTTTAAAATAATTATTGCAAGTTTTTTTCCCAAAACAGATACCCTGTGATATATAAAGCTCCATAAAGTGCTTTTGTCTACAGAAGCACATCAGTTGACCAGCTTCAGCATAGCAAACTGAAGTTCAGGGTTAGCTGAAGACAGCAATCACTGAGATTAGGATCTGGATTCCTCCCTCTCCAGCACCTGGGCGAGCTCACCACTTGATTTGCTGAGAGATTTTGGCCATTATTTACATTGAGTCTGTCAGTAATTTGAAACAGACACAAGGGAAAGCAAGGTGAAATAGAAGACAATCCTCAAAGATGCTTCCTGTATAATGGGGGAAGACCAGTAAATACAAGAGGCAGTAGGGGGAAAAAACCATGATTATCTGGATCCAAGGCTGGCTCTACAGCAGCCCAGGCTGGGCAGGATGGGGCCACTCGGGGTCACTGTCCCGTTCTGCATCCTCAGCATTTCCCACCAAGGTTCCTGTCACTGAATCACCCAAATATCACAGAGGCCTGTCTTTCCTCCCCAAGTGCTAAATACTCTCTTCCCCGGCCTCTCTTTGTTGTTCAAGTCAGGCCCTCCACTGCCTAAGACCGGGCACAAGAGCCTGGGTATTCATTAAAGGGAAAACCAGGAAAAGGCAGCCGAGGGGAGTCAACAGCTCTGCTTCCACCTTGAGATCCGCAGTGCTGTTAGCCCCTTTGATCCTGGCCTCACTTTGATATCCTCTCCTCTGGCTGCCCAGGCCTCCGCAGTTCCTGAAGTTTATTTCAGAACCAGTGGTTACAACAGACTGAAAGACAACACCCCCCAAAAGGTATTAATGTGCCAGGAAAGTGATTAAATCCCCTCATTAAGAAGCCTTTTTTGTTGCTGTTTATTTGGCACCATATACATTAAAAAACCAAGCACACAATAGATGCTGAACCCAACGTGTTTTTTAAAATAGTGATTCCTTTCCTTCCTCCCCCTATTTCTGTCTGAAGCCTCTTCTCACACAGAGGAGTCTTTTGCAACCCCAATCCACACAGTTAACCAATAAAGTTAAAATAACATTTCAACCTCAGAGAACAGAATCCAGAAGTTTTCCAAACTTATGTCTGCATACTTGAAATGAAGAACTGAAACAACTGGCAGAATATTCCCAAACCTGACATTTGACTGATACTCCTTTCTTCAGTGTGCGCACTGAGCACTTGAAATGGGGCTACTGTGATTGAAGAGCTGAATTTTTCATTTCATTTTAGCAGATTTGAATTTACCCCTAGGTGGCTAATAACACCCATATCTACCAGCACAGCTCTAAACCATCATCCAGCAAATCACCCTTTTTCGATAACTTTTAAATTTTATTTTATTTACTTTTTTTGAGACAGGGTCTTGCTCTGTCACCCAGGCTGGAGTGCAATGGCACTATCTCGGCTCACTGCAACCTCTGCCTCCCAGGTTCAAGCAATTCTCCTGCCTCAGCCTCCCAAGTAGCTGAGATTACAGGCATGTGCTACCCCGCCCAGCTAATTTTTGTATTTTTAGTAGAGATGGGGTTTCACCATGTTGGCCAGGCTGGTCTTGAACTCCTGACCTCAGGTTACTCCGCCCATCTCAGCCTCCCAAAGTGCTGGGATTATAGGTGTGAGCCACTACACCAAGCCTGTTACTTCATTTTATACCCGACAGACTCCTATAGGTTTGGCAAAAAGTGTGTTAAATATTATTGTAATTAGTCGGGCATGGTGGTGTACACCTATAGTCCCAGCTACTCAGGAGGCTGAGGTGGGAAGATTGCTTGAGCCCAGGAGGAGTTTGAAGCTGCAGTGAGCTATAATTACACCACTGCACTCCAGCGTGGACGCCAGAGCAAGACCCTGTCTTTAAAAAACAAAAACACGTTACTGTAGCATTCATAAATTATATTTCTTCAAAAGTGACAATTTGAGGTCACTTGCTGGTTAAATAATTATGATACTACTAAGGAAAAATATTACAAGTTTCTTTAACATTGTTATTTGACTTAAACTTAATTTAATTCTTTTCTAACCATACAGTAAAACTCTGCTATCGTTCACTGACTCTGCGGGATGTGACATGATATTGAATTCGTGTGTATCACATATCTTGCATGAAGTCATACTGGACAAGGACAAGTAAAGAGAGAGGCGGCCGGGCGCGGTGGCTCAAGCCTG